TATGTTTACATTTAATAAATATTTAGTTATACTTTACTATTATTAAATAAATATTTATTAAAATTTAATCAATTTTTTCAGTGTAATATTTTAGAAATGATCGATTCAATTTTATATTTCGCTCGCGTTTCGTTTTTAATTATAAGACACTACCCTCGCCGCTTAACTTTCTATCACTCCCTGTGATAGTTTGGGAGTGAAATTTCACTCCCAAAAATTTAGAGTGTAGGGATGCGGAAACCGCGATAACGAAAAGCCGTTATCACATGCGAAAAGTAGACCCATCGAAGCCGCCGCTGGGATCGTCGGATTACACGATGAGCAGGTCCTCCTTCTGGTGAGGGCCATCCGGTAGCCTCTGATTAAATACACGGATATTGTAGCAGAGGTAACCCAACCCCTCCATGATCGGCCGTACGATTGCCTGCGTCACCGCCGCCAAGAAATTTCGCGTCGCCGCGCATGTGATCTTCCACACGCGCAGACACGGTGCGAGACACCATATATGCTGCAAGGAACAACAAAGGTAGAAGAATGTACGGATAGCGAGTTGAACGAGACGAGCTATTAATCGTTGAAATTCAAACAAAACAAAAAACGTTTCGGATCTTTCCCCAACTATTTCACATCATGAAAAAAAAAATAGAGAAATTGTCCTAATTGTTTAATTGTTCTTAAATAAATTTTAATAAAATTAAAATGAAATCTTAACTAACTTTGTTTAATTCTGTTTAAATAAGGCTTAAAAGATTGTGTATATCTTTCAAGGGAAGTTCTTCCCTTCTTAGTAGATATTTTGCACTTCGTAAAAAAAAAAACGCAATAAATTAAATTAAATTAAATCTCTACGATAAAATCTTTCATGTAAAAAATATATTAATATTAAACAATAATAATGTAATCTTCTCACGGACTCTCAAATTCAACAACAAAAACTCCAAAAAAAAACAGGGCGAATGAGAGTCGGCGTGATAATTAATACGCAATCTTAAATCCTCAATCTAAAAAATAGAATCTTTATTCCAAAAAATAGGTACGTTTTAGTTCACTTTGAAACCATCTTCGGCAAAACAAATTTAAAATATCAATCCCTTCATGTCCAAGAAAAAATCACCATCAGATTAGCAGATTTGATGTAATAATCTATTCGAAACATTAAAATTATCTTATAAATATTTCTATTGAACAAGTTTTAAATTAACAATAAAA